CGCCAGTTCTCATCTTCCAGCTCCCCACCTACTCCGCATACTAAGGTTGTACTACAAAGTCGCCAGTTCTCAGCTACTACCCACTCACCAGTTCTCATCTTCCCACTCCCCAGCTACTCTGCGTACTAAAGTTGTACTACCAAGTCGCCACTTCTCAGCTTCCAGCTCCACAGATTGCTCCGCGTACTAAAGTTGTACTACACAGTCGCCAGTGCTCATCTCCCAGCTCCCCAGATACTCCACGCCCTCAAGTTGTACTACCCACTCGCCAGTTCTCATCTTCCCGCTCCCCAGCTACTCCGCGTACTACTCTCGCACCACCACGTCGCCAGTTCTCAGCTTCCAGCTCCCCAGCTACTCTGCGTACTAGAGTTGCGTACCAAATCGCACTCTCGCCTGCATTTCGCGCACTCGACACGCACGATCTCCGCAGAGGGTTGCGCGGGCAGCCGGCAAATCGCACTCTCGCCTGCATTTCGCGCACTCGACACGCACGATCTCCGCAGAGGGTTGCGCGCGCAGCCGGCAAATCGCACTCTCGCCTGCATTTCGCGCACTCCACACGCACGATCTCCGCAGAGGGTTGCACTTTCGGTTGACGCTGTTCGTCCCACCCTCCGCCTTTAAGAGAGAATTTATAAAGTGGGGAAATGTTTTTTCATTAGGACATCTCCCGTGCTAGTTTTCCATCTTTACCATACTCACACTTGCCCTTGCATAGTCATTGCATGCTTGCATACTCACACTTGCATACTTTGACCCTGGCATACTTCACACTTGGATGCTTTCGCTCTTCCAGTGTGTGTGTGTCAGTGTGAGTGTCGAAGTGTAAGTGTGTCAGTGTGAGTGTCGAAGTGTAAGTGTCGAAGTGTCAGTGTTCAGAAGTGTAAGTGTCGAAGTGTCAGTGTTCAAAGGATTTTCCGGAAGAACCCTTCGCAATGCTTTCAGGAATTAAAAAAACACTGGATACAGGATACACTTCACTACATGCGACAAAAAACATCGCTGACGATAAAAACCAACCAAAAAACATGCTCCCGGGCCATGTTCTTCAAGCCTTTAAAAAACGTTGGACCTCTTTCTGTGTTCTTTCTTTTCGGTCTTCCTTTTTCTCGGCGCTCCAACGCTCTGCTGGAGTGGCCAAGAGCTAAGCGTTTGCTGAGAACGAAAAGCAAAAACAAGCGCATCGCTACTAGTAGCTAGAAGCCACTAGTAGCGATGCCCCTGCTACTAAGTACCTCTAAGAATATGGTTAAATTTTGACCGAAGACGCAAAATAACGCATCAACATCCGGTGCTTTGCTTTGCTTTCAACTAATGGTCCCCAACGCTCCACCCAGCTCTCGCAGCTGTTGGACTCGGTTGCGCAACTGCAAGGCCTGGCGTGGATTGAGATGTGTTTGGGATGAAATCATAGGAACCTCCGCTGTGGCCTCTCAGGACTTTTCGTTTCTTTGTTTCTTTTCATGTGTTTTCTTCATCTTGTTGTTGGTTCCTCTTTTGGACTAAAGGGTGGAATGCTCTTGCGGCACTTGCGTGGCAGGGTCCAATGTCCCATCCAAGCTCCAACATTGACCCTGGTGGGTTTAATTCCAAGATGCGTGTCACGTGCGACGTCAAGAACAAGGACTGGATGACTCATCTGATTGAACCCTGGCTTTGGAGGTTTGGAGGTCAAACGACCAGTAGCTTCTTGCTACTATAGTAGTCTATGCAGTTTATACCCTTGTCACTGGAAGAATCTGAAGTGAACCGTGCGAAGGTCAAACCGGACAAGAAAAGCGCGACGGGCGTGACAGTCTCCACGCGATAGGTGAAAGGTCCATTGATGACCTTCCGGGCCTTCGGCAAACCGGCGTCCCGACGGCGTCCTAGTTCACCAAGAGATCGATGTAGCAACATGTGCTTTGAAAAAAAGTCCGTTTAGCTTGGTACACTTGCTTTGCGTTTGTTTGGCTCAATGAAAGCAAACTCCTCACTGAGCTGTTTCTCATGCGCCGTGCTGACACAGAGTGCCACGACGTGCCACGCAAGGACTCTCTCAGTTGCGTCTATCCTAAAACCTGTAACAGTGGATGATGATGGTTCAGTTGCAGGCCTTGTTCCAAAATAAGCTGCAACTTAGAAGCTACTAGAGGCTCCTGGCCTTACTACTAGGAGCAAGGACGCTACTAGTAGCTCCTGGCCTTACTTTCTGCGTCCGGACGCACTTTCCTTGTGAAACCTGACGGTGAATCGGTCAGTTCGGACAGACCGATTCACCTCACTCGGCTGCTCCGTGCGCTCGGCGAAGCCCGGACAAAGCGGGCGCCTCTCGGATGCTGACCCGAAAGCCCAGGACGAGGCGGAGCTCGGGGTCTGCCTCATAGGCATCACGCACCGCCGCCTTGGCACGCTTGGGTGTTGCGTGGACGTCAGGATGTTGGAACCGGATGACTTCGTGCGCGTTTTTCGTTCGCGCTCGTACATCTATGTTTGGACCTATAGACCTTTCTCTCCTTTCTGAACACTTTCTCCTGCTAGTTATTCCTTGCAAGGCACTGTCCTTACAAACGAAATGCCTGTTACGCTGCCCATCTGAGGCCCCGGCACGGAAGGCCTCCCGGTCGCTCATGCCACGCCGCATCTTCTCATCCACCTGTAACAAACGAATCAAGAAACTCTTGATGTTGTGCATGGGTTTCATGAACATTGAAGATGTTCTTCTTTTTGTTGAAACGGTTTAATTACTTTAGTTGGAAAAGAGTGGCGACATCTTTCGACTTAGGTTTAACAGCAGGTGAGAGGAATATTTGAAGGAAAGCTTGTAACATGATTCTTTCTGTCGGTTACATACGGGAAGTCAAGCCCATGCATGTTTGGGAGGTGACAATGGGAGGTGGCGCTTTGACTCAACATAGAACTTCAAGAAAACTCCCATTGGAAGATCTTTTCAATAGCTTCTTGTTCCTAGTAGTAAGGCCAGGAGCCCCTAGTAGCTTCTTGTTCCTCGTAGTAAGGCCAAGAG